TTGTAACTGTTTAACAACCAAAAAAAGACATAATTTTATCCTACTGCTACGACATTGAAGGGATAATCCAGCTAATTATGATGGATTTCTTTCTGTTTATAATTTAAGATGTGCCCACTGACTTTAAATGCTTCCTGTTGAATGAAATAAGTAGCCAGAAGAATTCGAGTACAGTCTTATCCCTAAAACTTAAGTATTTGGTGTCTGCTTCCTTTTCTCCCTCTAAAGACTCTTTGTGGAGGAGCTTTGCTGGCTTGAGAAGGCTTCTTTTTTAGACGGTTCTGTTTTTTCTATCTCTTTGACTTTCTGTCCTCTCTTGAGCTCTCTCTGACTAGCTAATGAGATGGCAAATTGAGCAGTGGTGTGGAGTCTTTTCACATGGCTCTAGTTCCAGCTGTGTCGTCGTCCTTCCCTTTAGGATTGGGTGGGTGGCTCCTTGTTTTTTAGGGGACACCAGCGTTACAAAAGCTTTATTTCAAGCACTTGCCACGTTTCTGGTCTGTCTTCAAGCTGTTCTTTGCAGCTTCATGGCGATGACCTCATGTCTTTTGGCCTCTGGTAGAACAGAAGATACTTTGCTGTCAGTATTCCCCATTTTTTTTCTGTTCACCTATTTTTAATACACTTGCTGGTTGCCATGTGAGTTCTGTATGACTGATAAAAACCTTGCTATAGCTTTTACTCACGCTGGTGGTATATAACTTCCCTTCAAAAAGAGCTTGTTGGTGCTGTGTTGCAGTACTTGCTGGTTATTACCGTGCATTTGTGGCTTTGATACTGGGCGATAGTTGATGGAGCACCCCAGTCCATTTCCATTTGCCCAGTCTCGTGATGCTGAAGAAGGCTGAGCATTAAACAGCTTTATGCTCACTTGGGTGATAATGACTGGCAAGGAGAAGGGGAGAAGCCAGAGATATGGAGGAAGTGCTTAGGGCATGGTGTTCAGCTGTGTTTGCGTGGCACCTGGGGCTATGTATAACTTTATGGAAGTAGTGGAGTTTTAAATAAACTGAACGAGACTCTTCGTGGAAAGGTGCCCAATGATCTCAGTGCATGTAGTTCCCGCAGCATCGGCAGCAGCTGTGCAGTGCATCCACCTGGTAAACATGGCTACAGCGATCCTCATCTGTGGAGAAAGCCAATGATACACAGAATGTTTGTAATGTACCTCTGTTATGATTGTTTTGCCCGGCAGATACAGGGTTGACATACTAGTTAACATGTTTCTTCTGGGCAGCTTTAAGTTTAAAAAATGTGGGAGTAGAGGAGTGCGGAATTTTGATCTGTAGACAACAGTCCTTCAGTTACTTCTTCCAGGGGCAGTTTTCCAAGGAAAAGCCCTTCGACAGACTGCAGTGACTTCCCTCCTTTTCCTTCCACAGCTTGGTCGGGTCGGTAGGGTTGTACCTTTCTGAGAACAAGGTAACTACTTGTGGCCAAATGATAGCGAACCAAGTTCACTAACAAAGTTCACCAAATTCGCTAAGGGTGAAGCCAGTTGAAAGGGCTTTGGCTTGACTATGCCTGCTGGAGGGGGAACCAGAGCTCGCATTACGTACCAGTGCTTACAAGTTCTTGCTAACACTTCTTGCTCTCCACCATGGATATCCTGGCACCAGCTTCCATTTTCTCCTTTTCTGTCCCCCATCTTTGCTTCCCCACATCTGTGGTATTGGAATTAGTGCTGGCTGTTCAGGAAAAAATGTTGTGGCTCCTGGGTTGGGAGCCAGGCAATACCATTTCCTATGTCCTCAACTGGTCTGGCTCTGAAGCAAACCAAGGAACCTGTGTCTGTGGACATTATGGTTAGCAAAGGCTAGCCTATATATAGTTTGGTTGATTGCTTTAGGCAAGCTATGATAAACCATGATCTTTTTTGGGGTGGAAGAATGAGAGGGATTACAGTGACAAGCTTTCAAAACCAACAGTTAGTTTATGTTTTCAAAGTATGTCCACAAGTGGGGAGGTTGCAAAAATGCGTAATATTTTACAATCCTTAATGTAGAAATCTGTGGCTTTCTTTTCTTGTTCTTTTTGTTTTGTTTTGTTTTTAAATACATGGGACTTGATCTTAGGCTTCATTGTGTTTTAGAAACTGCACATCATGTTGGACATGCAGCCACTTGGGGAATGTGCTGATCTGTTGGCATGTATGAAAGACAAAAAGCTTATGTGTCATTTGAGGGTATGAGGGATCTAGAGGAGTAAGCTTACCCAATAACCTTTAACTTAAACCTGCACGGTTATTAAGAAGGGTACGTCAGATAATTCCACTGCTGGACATACAGCTGTTCGTCTAAAGATCTCAATCAATTAAGATCTCTTTTGAATAGAGCTCTGTTTATGGATCAGCATTTTTTAATGCAAGTAGCAACCGTAAACTTAACAGCATTTTTATTCATTGACCTGACAGATTTCTCCTGTGATAATTGTCTGAGCACCACGGGGGCTTCAGCAACCTAACCACACACAGCAGGCACAGTGGGAGAAGACTTGAATGGCAGATCCTATTGCTTTCCAAGAGTGTATTTTCAAGCTTAGGGTTGGAAGCACTACAGGTGCGCTGCAGTGCACAAAAATATTAAAGCCGTTAGGTTAGCTGCCCTTTCTCTCATTTCCCTTACTAGTGTGGGTAAGTAAAATCCTAATGGTCGGTGTCAGATTCTTGTTTAAAAGGTAAAACCTTCTAGATAGTAGTGCGTACCTTGGTGCCTGCTTCACAAACTCAATTGTTCTTGTTTTTTTCTCTTCTTTCTTGAAGCCAGATTTCTGGTATGGTTCGTACAGCATTAAACTATGGATATTACTAGCAGCTCTGTTACCCTCGTTTTTGGCTTGTCTGTGTGAAGTTGCTGCTTCACAACAAATGAGGGTGTCTCACCAGTAGCTCCTGATTTAGATGGGTTTGAGTGCTGAGATCCTGCATGGATGGAAGCAGCATAAAACCTACCTAGAGCTAGGCTAGCTTCTCTCGCTGTTGTGCTGTGTAAGTCAAGCTGAACCAGCCATAAGGAGCTTGGGTAGAAATTCTTCATGGGGAAAGTCTTAAGAAAAAAGCCTCTGCTCCCTTCTTTCCCCTTGTGTTTTGGCATTTGTGGAGTGTGGAGGACAGGGTCAAGGAAAGCAGAGCTGCTGCTTTTCTCTGGCTGTTACCAATGTTTCTCCAATAGCAGGAGTTTGAAAGAACACTTTCCACTTTGGCAAAACAACATGTGGGTGTGATGCAGAGTAAGAGATTTATTCTGTGCCCTCTCCAAGTTGCTAGCATTATTGTGAAGACCCTACTTAATCTCCTTACTTGGCTTTTCTTGATTCTGTTCCTCACCTTCAGTCCTGTCAGCTCAGCCGACAGATTTCACAGTCACCCTTCCCACTCCTTGAGTACTGTTCAAAGTACTGAGGGAGTAACATGCCATGGCTGCTGCTTCCCAGTTCTTCTCTGATAGTATTTGCTTGTCCTTCTCCTTGGGTTTGTGGAGAGATAGAGGACTGCATGTGACTGCTAGGTGGTAGTTGTCAGACATATTAGAGGCTGAAAACACAAAATACGAGCATATAGAGAAGACTAAGAATCCAGTCTTGAAGAAAATCCTTGTGTTGATGGGATACTCTCTAGTATGCAGAAGTATTTGAGAGACAAGAGATAGATTTAAAGGGGGGAATGAAAGTATTAACATGGTCAGCATCAACAGCTGGTCAGCATCATCATCTGTAGCATTGACATGCGAGTGCCTACGTGAGTTTACAGAATTGGTTTTATGCCATTTTTCTAGCACAAGGCTGTATAGCTGTGGTCTGCCTGTCCACCTGTCAGTCTCTCCTTTATAAGTTTGGAACATACTGGTTTTGTTCCAGGTAAGCTTGAACGAGTTTTGGAAATCTCAGAAATGCAGGCTCCTGTAACTTTTGTGGGAATGGCTTGCTTTGTGACAGGAGACCAAAAAGAGTTGTAAGGAGACCCAATAAATTCTGCAAACATTTTGGGGAAGGAGGATCTAAGCATGAAAGGTGCTTACTTGAAAATCTAATGAGTCATAATGGAGGCAGCCATCCTAAGTCAACTGAAAAATAGCGTTATTCCTGATTTTGAGCTAAAATATTATTTAAATTAATATAGTATTATCCATAAGATCTCTTAATCCCTTCATCCTAACTTTTCACACTGTGACAAGAGATACCTTTGGTTATTTTGTCTCTTGTGAGAAATAATAGTTTTAGCGTATAGAACAACTTTGGCAACAGGGTAGCAACATTTCTTGGTGTGTGAACATACTTCTCTGGTCCCTGTAATTGTTTTACAGCACAATCTAAACATATATTGGAAAAAAAAGGTCCAGGCCTTTTTGCTGACCTTATAACTGTTTAGGCTCTTTGAGTTGAAAATAAATTTCCCAAACAGTTTGTGCAGACGGAGAGAAGGGGATAAAATTTCTGATTGATAGTGAGGAGCACTAGGTGTGATCCCATGATTGACTCTTGACTGCCACAGGGCAGTTAGCCCATGGAAACAAGAAAATGTACTTCAGGTCTTTCAAAGAGCAGTCAACGCTGCAAAACTTTGTATGTTGAACATCTCTGCTCTGCATTTGGAGGCTCTTTCAGATCACCTTGTATCCTCAGAAAAATGAAGGAAAAATTGCACATGCCAGAGCATGGACTGCACTGCATGTCATGAGATTCTGGTACTACCTTTTCCCACCAATTTCCGTTAAGGGATCTGGACATTAAAAAACCCTTTTTTGTAGTCAAGGTGTACATCTCTACCTTAGACTTAGGAAACTAACTTTTAGTTATCTTATACATAAGGGGATTGAAGGCTCACACAAGTTTTCTTGTGGCTGAGAAGGGACAGTGAAATTGTTATGGTGGTCTGATTTAACAAAATAAAACCTGAATACAGCTGAAAATCAGCTCTTTCATTGCTTTTCTATTTACAGCTGTTGCTAACTCACTGGACAAGTAGACTTGGGAATAGATCTTGATGTGAAACGTTGTGAGGAATGCAGAAGAAAGCTGTAAGTTTGGTTTGTGTTCAGTTGGACATCCATTTAGTTTCCTTTCTCTGTAGGAGATCTGTTTCTTAAAATACTTCTTGTTGCTGAGAGTATATAAGTTTGCAGTTGTTTTCAAAACATTCTAATTTGTACTTTATTAACATTTTGTAGATATTGTCGAGTGTCATTACTGAAATGATTCAGCACTCTAAAGAGCCCTGATAGGCAGTGAGCAAGAAAACGTTGCATCTGTTTTACCTACTGTTTTTTGGCTGCCTGTCCCTCAAACTTGTTTTTCTAAGGAGTGAAATCTCTGCATGTTAGACTAATTACTGCACGTCAGTTCCTTAACTCTTAAAAAGGCTTGGGTGTCGGCTGTGCAAAAGTAATGAGATGTGCAGTGATTTAGCCAAGGGGCCAAATAGCTATTACGCACGTGCAGTTGAAATGACCATGTGCAGTTGAAATGACCATATAAAATGAATGCGGTGCTAATTGTTGTCTCTGTAGCAAGCCACAGATTAGTGTTCCCTCCACACTGTTCACTTTAAATGTTGCAGTGAACAGTATTATAATGAGCATGGATGGTCCAGGCACCTTAAAACTGTTGCCAGTTCATAATGGCTCTTTGCCACATATATTTACTTACACCTGTGCAAGGGTCAGCCAAAGTGATACCAGGTGAGTTAAATCCATTAACTGTTTCCTTTTTCCTGTTGTTGTTGGGGCCTGACTTCAGAATTTGTTGCCATAATTCACAGAGGAATTGGCTGTTTGTTCTTAAAAATTTTCTTCCTTAGGAGGAGGTCTGTTTCTGCTTCTGCCTTGTCCTCTCAGGTTACAGAATGATCTCGTCCAGTGCTGAGCCGTGCAAGCACAGGTGTCCCCACTCATCACAGAATAAGAATAAACAGATTTGTGTACATTTCCCGCTTTCTCTTCTTTTTTCTTTTAAAGCCTGAGACTGCAGCTGTGCTGAAGCGCACTGTTGAGGCTCTTATGGAGAGAGGAGCCATTGTGAGGAACCTAGAAAACCTGGGAGAAAAGTCTCTGCCTTACAAAATCTCCAAGCACAAGGAGCGCCACAGAAGAGGAGGGTATGCGTGATGTGTTTTTTCCTTAAAATCCTTTAAGTGCTCCTTTAAAAAGTACATAAGTAACTCTCATTGTCTGGTCTTCCTTGTGCTTTTTGGGAGTACACTTGTACTGTCTGTGATCTCAGTAAGGTGCTGCGTGGCTGTTTGTGCATGGGTGTGTTCTGCTTCTAGTGTTTTGCGTCTTTTATTCTGTGTGGTGCCGGCTTTTTGTCGTCATGTAACAAGTAGCCCGAGTCCCGCAGAACTACTTTCCCCACCATACACAATATTATTTTGTTATGCCATTTTTACGTAACTATTTTCGAAGCCAATCAGGCTGTTTACTGATAAAAGCCATACTTAATCTGCCGGCTGCTAATTGGCAGGATTGATTCTTTTTCTCTAATGCATCTGAACTAAATGTTAATTACCATGTGTACCCCGTAAGACTTCCTTGTGTTTCTGATACAGCTTTGGTTAAGGAGGTTAAAGACGACCATGTGGTTTACAGGAAGCACGATAAATGCAAGTGAAGCTGTGAAGCGGCATCTTGGATGTGCGCAGGTGGAAGGTGCTGCGGCTCGTGCCCCCCGCTCACTTACGCCGGCGTGTTGTTGCTCCTCGAGGCTACCTCCGAAATGGATGCTGGCTCTCGCAAGGACTGAGGAATGTTGCTAGGCAACCCGCACTGCGGCGGGGCTGCCTGCGGTAATCAAAATAACAACTGGTGACACGCTCCTCCTAGTCCCTGTAATGCACCTGTGGGTAATCATCGGCTGGTTGGCCGACCTGCCTACCTGCCCTCCTCCTGGAGGGGCGTTTGGCACTGGGGAAGGCGAGGTGACTCCAGCGGTGCACCTTTTATGAAGCCCTTCTTGGATCATCTTCCCCAGGGGTGACTCACGGTTTCGCTCCCTCTTCTGAGGACCTCTTCATTCTCCTGCGAAGTGTCAGGAGTGGTGACAGCTGCCAGTTAAAGCAGACTGACAGAAGGGGTGGGGGAGGAAATCTCCACCATGTGCCTGTTACTTAACTGAAAGCAATGGAGTTGTGGCCGTGACTGTTTTGCACTCCTGCTCTGCAGTGTCCTTCACAACATGGCTTGATCCTGCCAGTTTTGCATTTTAGGATGAAGTCTTGAAACCTACACATGGGAGCTAATCAAAGCCTTGTCTCAAGACATAATTACTAATTACCTCATCCTTCTGTTGGAATTGAAGCATTTTATAAACATTCAAGTCTTTCCCG